AATGTTTGCTCACTGCTGCGATAATGCGTTTAATATTGTACCTACATCGATAACAAATAAATTGTATTATTAAATGTAAAATATTGTTTCGTTATAGAGATTGAGTTATAATAAAGATAATATACCAATGATTGTAATAATAATGTTTAATAATAGAGAAAACCAACGATTGTTGTAATGTTTACATTACATAGAGCTTTTCGTAGTAAAGAAATCGTTATAAAGAGTTTTCACTGTATTATAAACTCTGATAGTTGGTGTTGAACTTAATTGGTATTTCATTGATCTTGATATTGATAAGATCTCAACAAAATTATTTGGATATAATTATAGATAATGAAAAAATGTAATAGATATCTAGATAGAATAAGATAAAATAATTTAATGGTCTAGTAAATGTATATACATGGCCAAAACGTTTCTCTTAGATGGCATAGTTAGATACCAATTTGGTAGTTTATCTAGATAATAAATGATTTTATCTATAAATTTATATAATTAAATATTTGGCTATTGCACAACACTGTTATCGAAAAACGACTATATTGTGTAATACATAAAAATGTATAATTTAAAACACTCCGCCAAAAGACGGTTTTGCACCTCGACGACTTCACTGTACGTCTGTACACATCTAGGCTCGCGAAAAGCGAATATTTTTCTGGTAAAGTTTGTATATTGTGTTTTTTTTTGCACCCCTCGTTCTGCAAACGTACTCGGAACGACACGCTCTTTGCCCGTCAGACCGCGAGAAAGCTGCACGGCGGCGTGTTGTCCCGGGAGAGCCGACCGCGTCTCTCGACAAACGGACCGAAATAAAAAGGAAAATATAGTGAGACAGATTGAGAGAGAAAGGGAGAGAGGGACGGAGAAATCCTCGGGACGAGGTGGCTTGTACATAATACGTTTTTTCCTTCTTCTCATCCGCCGTGGGTCTCGCAGAAACGCGGAAACGCGTGAAGATCTATAGATCCGCCGCGGCTGCGGGGCATATAATATAATAGCGGTGTGTGAGTGCAGAGCGTGGGTGGGTGTATTTGGGTGCGCGTGTGTGTGTGTGTGCAGCGTGCTTGAGGAGGAAACACAACAAACCTCGACGACCGTACGACCGTTATTTGTCGTGCCTAATGACGTATCAAGTAACGCGAAGACTTCCCCGCCGCCGCCGCAGCCGCCGCCACGGTTGTCGGGCGAAACGCCCCGGGGAGACGCCGTCGTCCGCGAAAGTAAATCGCTCTTGTATTCTATATAATTCCTTTAAGAGCAGAGCAAACCATCGCTGTCGGTTTTTCACCACCCTCCCGACGAGGGCTCTAGATTTTATTAAGATACCGCGGCCTCAGCGCAGTGGTTTGTTGGCGGAAACCGATTTTAAAAAGGACAATTAACCACCACCATTTAATATATTATATTGTTGGCCCGTCGACTGTACAGTAGTATAAGGTCCCTATATATATGTGCGATACCTCGGCGAGGTCTTAAACGGTTTCGATGTAGAATTTTAACCTTTCATATCATAAGAGTGGGAATGGGGTAGTCAAAGTAGGAATTATACTATTCTGCAAACGATGTGCGAAATTAGACAAATTATTTTTTATAACTTAGGGGTGAATAAGAATATAATATTTACTAGGATGTGATGTGTGTTTGTGGCTAAATTTGTTACGTATACATATGTGTAACTACCCTAACTACCCTATGACTAATGACTGCTCATGCATATATATCATATGAATAAATAGTATTTAATGCACTGCGGATTGATTCTTTTTCGTCAAATGGAATACAATATATTAGGTGTACCTATATACAGGAAATAAATAGTATTTTTAAATTAAAAGTATTAATTTTTTCAAAACATTCACTATTTTATATTTTTATATGATTATCAGATTGTTAATTTGATTAAATAATTACAAAAAAAAAAAACAGTTTTGATTTCCTTGTATTTTTCATAAGATATTGCGAGTACTGATACACTAATGTGATAAAATAATCACCCAACAAGTAAGGCGTATCCATTACACCAAAACATCGTCGTTTGCAGATTTTAAAACAATAAAAACCACTATATAGTATGAGTAATATTTTGAACTTTTGATAAAAGCTATCATTTTAATTAATGCTAAACGTGTAGTCAGTATTATAAATAGTTTTTTACGAATTTTTACAATAGAATATCGTTTAATACTCCTCTTTGTTGTACAAAGCATGAATATCATATTTATTTTTAAAAGTAATAACCATATAGGTAAGGTACTCGTATATACTATATAACAGTTATTACAACAGTTCATGAAATTTAAATTGAATGAATGAATATTCGGGATAAAAATTGTATTTATTATTAATTGTTATTACAATGAATTTCCACTGATATGAATCAATGTTTTATTACTGAAATTTTCGAAAAGTAAAAATAATTATCACATAAAGAATATACCTCATAATGTAATGTAATTGAATTATTATTTGTTTGAGCTAATTTCCCTTCAAAGTTAGAACTGGAATTGAGTACCAACTGATGAAGTTACCCTGTAGTATTTATAATAATATAAATAAATGATTAACAAGAATTATGTAAAATAACATTTCTACGTGGTATGGTGAAAAGTAGCAGGAGATACGTATTAATTAAATTAAAACAGACAACAGTTATTGTTTATTAAGTCATCAAGACATTAAGTTTCAATTATTCTGTTTGAAACACGTTTATGCAGGTAATTATTGTTGTTATAAGTTTTTGTTTGAAAGTCTAACGCGGCGAAAACATTATACCGACGACATATTTATTCGGCCGGATATACCTATTTACGTATATACCTATATAATATGCATGTACAGGGTGATTCACAGGCAAGCATGCTTACTCCCATTTTTAATATAATAATACATTAATTAAAATCCTTATTTTTGGAAGTTTTAAATTTACTTTAAGTCTAAAGACCGTGTCTTAAAATTCTTGGGATGTTTTGTACTATTAAGGAGCTAGTGTTCGATGGCGATGCAAACTTCTGTTTTTCAAATAAGAACTCCGATTTTACTGTTATTTAGTGGCTAATTTTTTGGTTAATTTTAATTTTGACACTTCGATATTTTTAGAATACAATAAACCATTTACAGTACTATTGTAGGAAGGATGTGGTTGGTCGTCATTTGAAAAACAGAAGTTTTTATCTCCAAGTAAGTATCCATATTCATATATATCAAATCAGATTTTGAAGAACAAACGCGCACATTATTGATGAAAAAAAAAAAAATGCTAAGGGCTGATATCATCATGCTTGGCAAATCGCCACCCTGTACACATACTCCGTCTCGCCGCCGTCGCCACGAAATCCGTTTTGTCATCGTTTATGTTCGGATGCGTTTGCGTGCGCGTACACGATATAATTAACCGCGTATAATGCTCTCGTACATTATATACGTATACACAGCAAAGCGACGAAACAAAACATTTTGCACGGTAATTTTGGCAAACAGAGACTAGAAAATGCGGTTTGGCCGACGGTGTACAGATCAAAGGACTACGCGCAATCCCACACACATCACATAACGACCATATAACATATTATATATATATATATATATATTATAATTTATAAGCACTCGCGCACGCGTCGTGGGTCGGATTGTATTATTATGGAATCGTCTGACGGAAATGTTGTGCAGTTGACAGTCTCGGCGGCGGCCAAGTTTGTTTGAAGTATTGTTAAACGGCGATGCCATTGAACACAACACAGTATAATAGCATAATATGATATGCTGTAATATATACAGATGATACTCGCGCAATATGATATTATAATATTTTCATGTCGTCCGCGTAGGCATAGTCCCCGAGGTAGTTCGGGTCTATACATTAGTCATTACGGATTTACCATATCGCAACGGACGTACAATTTTGTCGTTTAATAGGTCGCGGATTCCAAGGTGCAGATTTCACGTCGGGCGTGCTATCATCGTATCTGCATTTTTAAAATGTTTTCCCTTTTTATATTAATTAATAATTATCGTTCGGTTCGCCTTTTATTGGCCGCGGATCCTAAGGCGCAGACTATCACGTCGGGCGTGTTATCATCTTATCATTTTTAAATATTTTATATCAATTCATTTATTGTTTGGATCGCCGACGATGGACAAAACGATTTCACTGCGTACGATCATCACAACCCGTCGTGTCATTATATAGCAGGGGCGGCGAAAGAGCAGCGGTGAGCCGCACGATATGATGAAAAATAATAATTTACCTAAATATTATGTAGGGTGGTAAAAATGTAATGACGCGAGTCGCGATTTGCCCACCCCTGTCGTCATGTGTACGAGTCATGTGTAAACAGTGTACGAGTATGTTTGCGTCGGGAAAACGATTGAAACATAACGTTGAAACGTTTGAGCGCCGCCGCCGTCGACGATAATATTGTAACCAAAGACGTGGTCGCTTTTGACGCGGTACAGGCGCTCGGAAAAATAATAATTTATTTTTCGTCCGGTTATTATTTATTAAATTATAACCACCCGAAACGAATCGGCGTCCGACTTTTGGCACCTATCTAAATGATTTTAGATCTAGAGGAGACGACGTCTCGACGCGGTCACAAAATAACATCACGGCCGATCACCTGACCAGTCAGGTATACGTAGTACGTACCGCGTATAATAATATCTTATTTTCGATTATGCTGCGAACGGTATGTTCGTGCGTCGAATTCGAACGTCATATCAAGAATCTACCCGCAACACGAATTAAGACCGACTTAAACGAAAGAGATCAAAAACGAAAAAACAGGTTTCGCGCGCGTCAAGTCCGAAAGAATTCGTGTATAATAACTATATAATATAGTGTAATATATTATATTATTATATTATTGTAGGCATCTTGACGCGCATATAATATGAAAGAGAGCCGAATTCGATTTTTATTTTGATATTATTAACAATAATTACGTAGTTACTATATATATATATGCATAAATGATATAATAAATATGGGTACCGACCTGATCTGGTCTAAGTCCGGCGGGCACCCACGTGTACTCCTCCAGCGCGCACCCGGAATCGTCGTCGGAGTGCGAGTGCCGCTGTTGCGGGTCACCTCCGCCCGCGGTGGCCGTAGCCGCGGCATGATGGTGGTGCGGATGGTGGTGGAGGTGGTGGTTGTGGAGGAGCGCGGCGACCGCCAACGGGTCTTTGCGGCCGGCGGCCGTGGCCACGGACGCCGTGGACGTGGCCGTCGCGCCCACGGCCGCTGTGGCGGCCAGCAGCTTCTCGTAACCTCCGATCGCTTGGTCGTAACCCGGCGGTCCCGTGGGCAACGGTGGCAACGGTGGCGGGGGCGTGCCCCGCTTGACGCCGGCCATCGCCGCTGCCGCTGCCGCCGCCGCCGGCGACGACGACGACATTATCGCCGCGGCACCACTTCCTCCGCACGAAGTCGTTTCGGGGATCGTCGGTGGTCGGTGGTGGTCGTTGTTGTGGCTGCCACCGGTGCTGCCGCCGCTGCTGTGGTCGTCCCGCGGACAGTTGCAGTTCCGGCACACTTGTCTGAAAAACGATTCGTAAATTCCAATTATTAGTTTACGGTAAAAAATATTTGACCAACGTTATACTATTATTATAATAAATGTATATATATATATATTTTAATTTTGTTTATAGTTTTGGTGGTTTTGAACATGTCGTGGTGTTTGCCAAGTTTCAACTGAGATGGTGTTCGATTAAATAATATGATATATTTCAACAGTATAACGCACGAACGACTGCTAGGTAATCAATTTTTCACAGCATCTAGACAAACATTTGTCGTACCTCATGCAGTCATGCACAAGTTATTACTCACGGCGTATTTTTCAATACCTGTGTTATATATACATACCTAAATGTTTGTGAAACGTAAAACGACTGTGTTTTAAATTATACTGAAGAATAATATTATCATCGTAATGCAAGTTGCCGGTTAGGTTGTTATTGGTTTAGGTCAAATCCAAGTACCATAAAACGATAAAAATTATTCTATTAAAATTAGGTGTTTACTGTGAATAGCGAACAGCTAAGCATAATTTATCTATAAATAATAATTATTGACCATCAGTGTTTGGAAAACTTATCTTCAAAACGACCCTCGTTCGTGTTTATCATCGTAGGTAATATTATTTAGTAGGTAGGTACATAACACCCAGATAAACGATAAATGCCTATAAATGTTTTGATTCTATGGGATACGAATACGACCTACCAATAAATTGTACTACATGATAAAGTAACCTTTGAACCCGAATAATGTGCTCTACAAAACCTGAGTAATTTTCGTTAATATTAATCTATTTCTGCATTGCTTTTGTACTTTAAAAAACTAACAATATGCATTGGAATTTTCCATTTTTGATACATTGTGTTTATATTTATTATTTTTATTAACATTTAAAATTAATTTGGTAGTTTTATGTTTCATACAATATTTTTTATAATTATATTTATACCGTGAAATCACAAATTACCACAATAGGAAAGTAAACTTGTAATTTTTCTCACGTACGTGTACATGTATATAAATAGAAAATAGGAGCTCATTATTATTATAAAAGCTTTTTTCTTTTAAAAATCGACCCACACTGTAATCATCCATAGATTTTCTTAGAAATTTATCTTATAAATATGTCGATACGACGACGGCCTCGGCCTGCATTTAAGTATGATACTATGATCAATCATCGGATGTGGCCATCATCATTCATCAGATGAAATGATAACGTTATTATATATTATTAAAAAATTATTGCTTTCATGCAGGATAGATAGAGATATGTACTCTTTGGTAACTGCTTGTGAAAAAATACAAATTTTAACATGCAAAAAATATTGCTCAGGAATCAGAATGAACTTTTAACCCGAATCTTTTGGCGGCCGCTTGCGGATAGAGCCATACCGAACTTTTTAGTTTTTGATAGGTGCTTATCGTTTGAGACCAATATATTGTACCAAGTGATCCATACAACAAACTACAGTTTGCCGACATCTAAAATTAATATCATATATTTTTATAATAAAGACGATATAATATAAGTATTATGAGTTCACGACATTTTGAACCGGAACCCTGGAAATTATTATGGACGAATAATCAAGTCTAGTCTTTCGCTGTACTATAATCATGGTTCACCGGGGCGAAAAGACAATCATTTCGTTTATGAGGCGAGACCCAAAATGTGTATAATAATGTGGCGGGTAAGTTATTTAGAAATTTAAAAAAAAAACTAAGGAACGTTTATTTAGGGATTATGGTTATATTATTGTAACGTGATGGGTACCTATAAGTCGTTACATCGCAGCCGAGTTGGCGACACCGTATGGGCTATCCCGATTTATTACGTTATTATCATCGTCGTCGTCGTCGTCGTCATCATCTTCATCATCATAATCAAAACCACAATTATTTTGATTATGATAATCAAAGTCATAGTCATCATTCGTGTCTCGAATATTAGCCCCGCGGATAATACGCTCTATTTATACGCGTCCTGTGGCACACAATTTCGCGGGATCCGTTGCCCGGCGATATTTGATTTTACGTTTTCATATTACCTACGTATATTATTAATATTTGCTCGAGGGATATGAAGCAGTAATATTTATTGAATATTATACATATCCATACAAACGCACACACTCGCGGCCGCGTGTATTTTTGACGTTAAATTAGAGTATTCAAGGGTTACCTATGACCGACATATAATAATATATATTATATCTATGTGCGGCATTGCGGCCGTGCATAATATTATGGAATACAACATTTTTATACAGAATTTTTTTTTTCATAAAAGCTTTCGTATTTCATTTGCGACGGGGCTCAACGAATATCTCTTGTAAAATATGCAATATTGATGTAGTTGAAAAAAAAAATATGAAAAAAATGTTTTTTTCTCATTTTTAACGAGTCTTTGTACAAAAAAACCCAACAAAAATCATGTAGCGTTCGATAGCAATATTTCAAACCTATAATCGTCAGGTATACAGTTACGATGTACGACATATTTCCAAAATAATATTACAATCAAATATTAGACACGATACGCTCTTTAATACCAAGCTTTATTTAATTTCATGATTTACTGCTGGATTCACCTACCTAGTGATAAAACCATAGTGTTTATGGTGTCGATAAGTTTATTATAATAATAAAAAATATCACTACCTATATCTATTTAAGGCATAGAGTTAAAAACTGTCCATTATAAGAGAGTGTGTTCATAAATAAAGATTTTACTGCATGTACGCATAAAATAAAATTATACGAAGCCGTCTCGTGTGGAGAAAACTCGTTTTGGTGTATAAATATAATTTACAAAACATTTAATTGGCAAATAAAATTATGGTTTAAAAAACGTTTCTTATAAAACTGTTTATAAAATACTTGATACCGAGAAAAATGTGTTATTATTATAATTATTGCACTTGATGGAGATCTATGATCGCGTTATATTGCAACACTCTCGTGGGCCGTGGCACCCTATGACTCTATGAGTTTCCGATTGTGTTTAAAACAAAACATAATAATGTAATAATAATTATCATTAACAAGATTCGGTCGCTGATTGCTTTCTGCAACTGTACGATAATGGTTATATATAAAAAAATAACTTTTAGTCTTTACAAAACGATACACCGACCAAGGCGATCAGTGGCCGCGGAGAAATGAAAAAGTCCAACGAAAAATGGCTTAAAAACAATGCAAGAAACGGGTGTGTTTGAGTGAACTCTCCCATAAGTTTACATAACATGACAAGTCTTTCTAATACTTACTGTGAGTTTTAAATTATTGCTATACAATTTTTCGTGGATTAGTAATCTATATATTATATAGGCGTACCGTATGAAAATTAATTTACTTTTCGATGGGGCTAATAAACTTCAAAAACTACAAAACCGATTGGCATCAAATTTTGCAAACATATTCCTTAGGACTCGGGAAGTGTTCATATAGCTTCGTATTTCAACCCTTGAATAATGTGTTGCTATAAAATGTCTAACACGCATGTATTTCGTTTTGGCTCACGAAAATCGAGTAATGTTTTGTTGACATTGTGTGTAGGGTGGCCATTGGTGTTGGAGAAATAAAGTCCTTAGAGATATCGGGAAAGTTTAGAAAGTATAATATGGACCACGTTCGAAAATATACAAAGCACTGCTACTATATCCAACCCGCCAATTGTGGGTTGGCCTTTTCGGTGGAATTGGTTCGCAGAGTGGAGTACACCGACGCCAATTTTCCCGTGAACTACAAAATCCAGGTACACCTACATAGTTCCACGTTGGATATAATATATTTGTTCATTTTTTCACGGGCCATGTCGGGTCCATATACAGCTGATATAAGTATATATATATATATATATATATATGTATATAATGTACACCCGTATATAGGAATGAAGGCGGCTCAGAGTTGTAGTATCTGGATGTTGCGATCTAGCTAGGCGAATGTGTTTCAATCTGGAGAATAGTCACGATGACGATAATCGTAATAATAATACTATAATAATATAAGGTCCCGTGCGCGGAGGCGCGTTGGCTGTACGAATATTACGGCCGACCGCCGAATAGGGGAGGCTGCCGTTCGGGGGGAGCTGGGGGGGGGGCGGTTAATAATAAAACCGGATAAAAAGTAGCCGCCGCGAGTCTATAATACACGCACACATGCTATAATTATTTATGCTAATTGTCCGGCGGTCCATTGTATATAAGCGCGCTAAAGGCTCCGGCGCTGTATATAAATCACTGGCCTGGCCTCCCGGACATATTATTATAATATTATTATGAATACGCGTACCTATATACCTACACACAGACACACACACACACACACAATATATATATATATATATATATATATGAGACCCATACGCGAAGCGGCGGACTTCTCTCCGGCCGGGTTATAATATGGGCATGACGAACTCTGCGCGGCGTCGCGTAAGATATTAATTTGACATTTCAATCGCTCTGTGCAGCACACGCAGCGTAAGTCATCTGCGATGATACTGACGGAAGGGCTTCCTTATAGGTCGATCTACCCCGACTACTCGGGTGGTTTTTTTGGCGTGAGGTGGTATGTGTGCGGCAGGGGTACATTTGGACGAGAAATCCCGCGGCACTCGGTCCGTCGTTTGTCGCCTGTCGTCGTTGTCGTCGGCATCACGTCGGGCGTGCGAGTTTCCATTTCGAAGTACCCAATTATTGTCATTATTATTATTATTATTATTATTATTATTATTATCGTAATCATCTTCGCCGTCGTCATCACCGGCATCGTCTATTTATTGTTGTTTCGTACATTACATATCGTTTTAATAAGCGTACGTAATTTCCAGCTGTATATACAGAAAGTTGCTTGTAACGAGCGTACGTGTATATACGAATTAAATGTCTACAAAATATATTACACATTACTTATATAGGTACGCGTGACGTTTGCGGCAATAATTCACGAAAACCCGACTCGCGAGTATAAATAAAATAAGGCAAAGGTACAGGCATAATGTAATAAC